GTATATGTACAAGGTACTTGTGTTACATTGAAAAGGGTATTATTCCATCCATTAATATATTAAACTAGTTTTACTATATACCATAATGTTTTGGTCAATAGCAACATTTAAGCAAAATTAGTTCATTATTTTTTCATGATTTCAAAGAGGTTTCCATTATAAAGATTGTTTGTATTAATAGGTGGAATAAAGTTTAAAGGTTACCTATCAGTAGTCCGGAATGGCATTTTCCAGAAATATCGTTTGCATGAATTTTCATAACCTCGAAAGTAATTTTGAGAAGAAAATGTTTTTTTCTTTTAAACCTAACCTAACCGAACTTAATCGTGTCTTTGCTATAAACATCCAACATATCAGAAAGAACAACGGTTGCGTTATAAATCGGTTTTCGGTGTAATGAAAATTTGAACACACGTCATTTCGGAAAAAATAATTCGAGTTTGTGATAGGTTACCAGTTTAAATTTACAAATAGAATCTGGGAGCGGTATTTACGTGTTAAAGCTATATGCGGGTGAAGGCCAACAACCCAATTATTGTTGTCACGCCCTCCGAGACCTCGTGCGACTAAATCAAGCCCAAATGATAAATCAGGCCTCGTTCATCGTCCACAGTCTGAGAATCCAGGTGCAGTATGAAAATATCTAACTAAAATTGGCATTAAATGTGATTAAATATTGTGGCTCGAGTGTAATTTGTCCAGGAACGTCAAATAGCGGGTCTGTCTACTTTTTTACCGACATTGTGTAGAATGTATAATTTCTTTTTGTATAAAGTTATTTGATAATACTAATCGCCTGATATTAAGTCATCCATCATATTATGTTTTATATCACAAGAGGTGCATAAAACTTTATGAAAAACTTAAAACTTTTCCGTGTATAGTGTTACCTGAACTTTTTACGGCCTTTTCACAACAAAAATTGTATTTTGATATCTAATATTATTGGCTCTTTCCTGTGTAATGAAGATATTTTTGGTAAGACCACTTTTTTATATAATATCAATTGACGGGACGAACAAGTCGTGCGCCTGATGATAAGCTACAAGCCTGTATATAACAGTCGCAGTGCCACTCAGAGCTGTAAATCGCTAAGATCTAAGGCGCACTGCCACTGCGCCCGCCACCTGGGGACATAAGTTCACAAGTACCATGTGCTTGTAATTTCACCAGAACCCCTACCCTTCAAAACCGGATGACAGTAATGCTAACATTACTGCTTGGCGGCAGAAACAGGTAAGGTGGCAATACACTTCTTAAAAAAGTGTTATCTCCAGTGTTACCAATAATAATAATACAGTTTTTTCTCTCTATATATATGATGCAAACGGGAGACAATAATTTATAGTGTTTGATTTAGACTATAGATTTTTTATTAATTATAAAAATGTTAGTAGTAGTTAGTGTAGGAAAAAAAGTCGATTGACCCAGGTACCAATGGAATGTAATAATAATATAAGGTTACCAAGAGTGGCGCAGATTCAAGTAAAGGTAGCATTCCGGTGTTGGAGATCCCGACCGGCTACCGCGACACACTGTTCAGTATGAATTTGTATCGAGATCTGACCAATGCAATGCAAGACACCGCGCCGCATGACTTTACTGTCGCCAGTAGCTATCTTAACATACCAAGTGCAACACAACACCACACAGAGTAAAAAGCTTCAAATAAATTCCATAATCGTCATTCGGAAGAAGCCACCATTGTACACAAAAAGCAAGAGCAACCTAGTCTCCCAAGCGTTACCTTTAAACATACTGTTATAAACCTGTAAGTATAATAGAACTATTCTTACACACACATACCTACTACAGAGATAATACATTTCGATTGAGCAAGTCCCTTTGGACCAGTTTACCATAAGTACAGTAAAAGAAACTATTACAATATTAACAAACAAGTACACACATAAGCTACTTATGGAAACACAAACTAGTAAGAGTTTTCTTACATAGGGCAGTGTCACGATAGTTTATTATAGTCAAAACAGGTTAAAAACGGGACAGAATATCCTATCGGTTACAGGCAAGTACGAAATGCTATAGGGCTAACGATAACAACATTTAAATATTGTATTAAATGAAAGAACATTTAAGACTCAAGTCGGTTTTCTTCTCATGCTAACCGGCTCTGAATGATTCTGATTACAAGGCGCCAATCTTTTTAATCCTATAAGCCTTCTAAGTAATGATTTAAGTTTTAATTCATGTGATTAATCTTCAATTTTAATGTTATGATTATGACTCAAGACTTAAGGTTCTTAGTTGTCGCGATTGTTACACATGGGAAATGAAACTATTTTTCCGGATTTAAATCGCGTATTTATGTTTTTTCTAACAAACCGACGTTTCGGCCCTTTACAGGTCCCATAGTCACGGTTGACTGAGGTCGTACAGACATCAACCAGTTATGTCTAATATTGAACTACTAATTAATAACTGTTGCAACTATGGATGTGGATGATTGTACCACCTCAGTCAACCGTGACCATGGGACCTGTAAAGGGCCCGAAACGTTGGTTTGTTTGAAAAAATCCAGAAAAATAGTTTCATTTTCAAGACTTAATGGTTAAACTTCTGGTCTAGTCGTAAGGCGTTATAAACTAGTCGAGGTTTTTAATAGGTCTTAAAACTTTCATCACGACGATTTCGCGCTGACAAGTACAATCGTGGGTAGTTATGAAAATGACTTCGTCGCACTCTTCGAAATGATTTTTCATGAGAAAAAACTGACCACAGATTTTCTGACTTACACATTACACATTATAGGTACCGTCATGGCTAGATCCAAAAGACGAAGGTAGAGACTCCGAATCTCTAATTGATACGTTCTTGACATGCCTAATAATGTACAAGTAATGAGCTGAATCGATGACGATAATTTTCTTTAGTGTAGTAAAGTTGGGTTATTACAGGAAATGTACAGTTACATAGCTAGTATGCTAACTAATAACTAACTTCATTTCACGCAACAAAATAATACAAACATGAATATTTTCGGCGTAATTTTGTGTAAAATGTTCGTACGTATTTTTATAGGTACTGTCATGGCTAGATTCAAATGACGAAGACAGAGACTTCGGTCTCCAATTGATACATTCTCGACATGCCTAATAATGTACAATTATCATAATTTTTAAGCTGATGAGCTGAATCGATGATGATAATTTTCTTTCGTGTAGTAAAGTTGAGTTATTACAGGAAGTGTACAGTTACCTAGCTAGTATGCTAACTAATAACTAACTTCATTTCACACAACAAAATAATACAAACATGAATATTTTCGGCGTAATCTTGTGTAAAATGTTCAAACGCATCTTTGTAGGTACTGTCATGGCTAGACTCAAATGACGAAGGCAGAGACTTCGGTCTCCAATTGATACATTCTCGACATGCCTAATAATGTACAATTATCATAATTTTTAAGCTAATGAGCTCAACCGATGATGATAAACAAATTCAAAATTAAAGCACATTAATGACGTACAATAATGTACGTACGTAATTTACATTAATTTAGCACATATGTGCTATCCTTTATTGAGTAAATTATTGATAGCCCCAGAAGTACTTTTTAATCTATATTATTTCAAAGAACGATGTTGCATTTTGATATACTTTTCTCAAGAACAAATTAGTAGTTAGAAATTTCCTAATGTAGCCAGATTATACCCTTGATAATATTTTAAATTCTGTTTAACATCTAGCAGTTCTAAACAGCTATTTGAATATTTTAAGCCCTTAAGTATAAGTAACGGAATGTATGTATATAGAAATAAGTACAAAAATAGTCATAGAATAATCTCAACGAAAATCATTAGTCTAAGCGCCCGGTTACACGACTTGAAAGCTCTCGCGTGGCCGCCGCGGGGCGATCGCCCTGTTACACGCTTTCCCGTACATTAATGGCCAATCTGAATTCTATTTACTAAGCAACAACATTCTAATTCCTCTGAATAATACAATCGCGCGGTGGCCGCGTAGACCAAAGACAAGCCAGACTCGCCCGCGCGCTTATTTAAGTTAAAACGTATGGGCCCTAAATACGGAAATTGTACAGAAATTTATTGAAAAATATATACCTTTACGCATTGACTTACAAATAAATTTACATCTATGTATTTGAAAATCATAATCGTTTTGAATATAGTAATATAGTAAACTATAATAGCTATATTACTACAAACAGCCAATCATGTCGACAAACTGATATGTGATTTGATTAATCATCACTGTAAGGTAAGCATGGGCGCAGTGTATTGGTGGTCAATAGTTTCGTTATTCTTTATTTCTCTTTCATTTTAGAAGAGTTAACTAATTTTTTTTTCACGCGGTTCTAGTTGATAAAATAACAATGTAATTCGAAGACTGCCAAACGAAAACTTTCAACTTATCTACAATAATAATGTATACGTCATTGTAATTTCGAATATTAGTCAGCTGCTTTCACGATCACGCTACGCATCTGCCGCGCGTCACATGCCCTGTGTCGCGGCGCGACAGGAGCGGAAGACAAAACGAAAGCCATTTCGTAGTAATAAATAACAAATTCGCGTGGTACAGGCGGACTGTCCCCACGGTACAAGATCATAGTTTACGTTTACTTAGAAACCTTTTGCCCACACCTTATATTTTCATTATTCTCTCATGTTAATCATATCGATATTTGATATACCGCTGCTTCTCTAGAACAGTGTCCTAAACGTAGTTCATTTGATTTATTTATTATACAATGTATTCAGAATGATCTAAACTGTATTGTGCAAAAGATATTATGTACAAATATATTGGTCGAATATAATCATGGGCTCGTTAGATAAGAACGCCCATAGTTTTGTTAAACCATTTTAATGAAATAATGAATTAGATATTTTGAGACAGGCCGCTGTTCTACAAAATCACCGGTACGTTAATCTAATGTTAGAACACTTAATAATAAAGATCTCTTTTTATATAGAAAGTTAGTTTTTACACAAATCAGTGCTGATTTTCAACAACTCATTTCAGCAACACACAGACAGATTTTTTTTTATAACACAGTAGTATGATACTTTTAAGGCCCAGTGCCCATTAGCGGCTCTGTATGGGAAGAGATACTTCGGCTTGCCAAAGCATCGCGTTATCGTGCTCACGCCTAGCCTCTCGTCAGACCAGTTGCAACGTTAAACGTAAAATCCTGCCGAAGTAACCCGAAGGTTGCCGGCTCGGTATCTCTAAGCTTACAGCAGCTTTGTTTACGTAGCTATGGCCAATTATCGTTGAAAATTCAACTATAATGTCATGACATCAAGGTATGTGCCGTACCGTAAGTGGGCGCCGAGCCTAATGGAACATACGTCATTTTATTAGCTAGGTACAAGAAAATACTTTTGTACAACTGCAATTTCAATCACAAATCGCCAAATAATGCTTTATGTACATTTAGGGATAAGTTATATTTATCAACATGCTTCGCAATAACATCTATAATTCCGAAACCCACAAGTCCACAAGCGATGTTCCCATTTTTTCCGTTGATTAAAAAAATTGAGTTTCCGCGTCTTCTTTTCAGGTGGCAGCCGACCTAAGTATACTGCCACATCTATGATCACCCTAAGGTGCTTCATGCATCAAGCGCAGTTTATTTTTTAGACTGACAATAAAGGGGACGCGGTTGATTTGTACGGAATCATGCCGCATCGGACCGCACTAAGTGTGTGGGTTTCGTAAAACAGTTCCAGATACTAAATCAACACTAAATTAATTATGAAGAGTATTTAAATCTAAAGTCAATCATAATTCTTATAATAAATCTGTCACATCGACGTTTAAATAAAAATTTGAGAAATGTACGCGATATAACAAAAAATTATGAAAAGTTTAGTTGTAGTGCAAACAAACGCGGTCTGAGGTGGCAAGGTTACAACCTGTTACAGTATGTGTTTGTGCGTACTTACGTGTAATCGGCACTAAGTTAGATTATTTGAGCACATTATCTGTATAATCTTCATGTTCTTAGTGACTACAATATTTGCATTATTAACATTTCATGTGACAAAAACTTAGCACCGTGCAAGTTAACAGTGCTAACTAACGTAACAACGTAGAAGAAACCCCTTGTCCATGTTTGGTGAATGTAAATAGAGATTCCGATTTTATATGGCGGCCACCTTAGATCCGCCATATTGGAAAAACGTTATGGGATGTGATGCTCAAATTTCCGTTGGGTAACATTAGATTCATACAAAGTTTAATACTCGTTGTTTATTCGATAGGGAAATAGTGCCACTGCGTGTAATGTGCAGGCTATTTTGTAGTCCCAAAATTTTATACATCGAATAAGCCTGGTCTTTGCCCATTGACCTCTACTACTATTTACACTGATTCTCGTATATATTTTATACTATAAAAGACCAATAGAAAACTACGAACACATAGGGTCTGAAGACATTTTAAATTTTACAGAGTATTATAACCTGTCTTTTTCGAATACGGAGTAAAATGACAGTTCATTGCGCAAAAGTGTTGCCTGCTTGCGAGCAGCTAGTGTTTGCAGTTGATAAATGATCGACTATCGACTGAATATTCGTCACGCTTATGGAATAAATAGCTGAACTTGTTGCCTTTGAATTGTCAATTTGGAAGTTGTATTTATGTAGAGCTATATTTAAGAAAAATAAAAAAAAGTCTCCTCTTTTATAAAGTTTTTAATTTTAATTCAATATAGATAGTCAAACCCGGCTATTCTTGATAAAATGTACATGAATAAAAAATGATCTTGATACTTGTAGGCCTATTGTCAAAATAAGAATAATGCAATTAGTAATCATTAGAACGTCGTAACATTCACAATTCAGTCATTTTTGGCAAAAAAATTTCTACTTTCACAATCTATCGATAAAAGTATCAACAACAATAGCATAACTACCTATTTAAAATTTTGTTAAAACTGGCAACTCTACAAATGTCATTTTACTCCGTCTTCAAAAAGGACAGATTATAGGATATCTAAAGAGTAGACAGTATAGTGCATTGTAATGTTTGGCAAATATACTATAGCAACGATTCTCCTGATTAATGGTGTATATTCCGAGTATCGTGTGACAATAACAAGGAAATGCTTTGATACTGTCAGTTGACAGCGTGAGACGTTGCTACAGATTAATGGGCAAAGAGGCTTAACATCAGTTCTCACCAGTTAGGTTTCTTATGCGCGATAGTCCATTGTTGGTAAGTGTTGTTGTCGTCGCAGGGCGCTAGGCCTAACGTCTTCGTGCTGGGTTGAAGTGTTAGGCAATAGCTGTGGAGTCTGTGACGGAGCTGTTTACGATTGTCGTCGAAGCTAGAAAAATTAAAATACGATTTTACCACAGTGTAATAAGACAAATAGGGTAATTTCATACAAATGTAGCAGCGCGACTTGTATGCACGCCAGTCGCGCGCTGTGCACGGACGCATACATTCGCATAATCTCGAGGTGCATTCACGTTGCATAATACGGGTCTTCTCACGCGTCATTTATTAAAGAATTGAAGCGTCGGTGTCGGTGTTCAAAAAATGACATGAAATAGTAGACGTGTTTATGGTTGTGAAGGCTTCAACATTTAGTGATCGAACTGTATTAAAAATGTTCTCTTCACCTTTTTCCAATAATTTATACATAATTATATAAATTGGTTTTTGGTTTTTGGTTTGGTTTTTATTATTTCTTTTTATCTCGTTTGTCGCGCTCAATTGTTACGTTGATAAAATTACGGTGCAGAACTGTCAAAATGTTTTAAAATCAGCTGTGAGTGACCTTGCGGCCTCGTTTAGCACTGTGATATTTTTTGCACCCATTGGTCGAGGCGCCATGTTAGCTATTGTTATACAAATTTTAAAAGGCGGTTTCATTTCATTTTTCATTCATTTTTCATTTTTCATCACTCTGATTTGATAGCTAAATGTGGATATAATAGCTTTATTGCGGTGGCATGCTACGGGTGCAGAACCCATTTAGAAAAGTTCATACTGTGTATGTGGTAGTGATCGTAATATCGCTATTGTTCAAGAATAGTGGCCCAATCAAAAATTGTTTCTTTATGACTTTATCGAGATTTATTCAGAAAGTGCCAAATTTTATTGTGAATAGGCCACTGAATTTCTCATTGGTTAAAATAATCACAATTCACATGGCAACATTGGGGTGATCAACATTTGTCAAGGAGTTTCGCTCTGGACCTTTTGGAGGGAAAAGTTTCGTTTTCATTTCGATTTTCAATTATTTTGTGAAATCTAGTTTAAAGTGGAATAGGATAGTGCTATTGTGCCTTAATCGAAGATTAAAACGTATCGACCCGTTTTAAGGAATCCCGAGTCAATCCAACCACGCCGCCTCAAATTGCCTATCCTCTTTGTGGCGGCCATATTTACAGAAACATAATAAAACTTCATGTTTAGGCTGATGGCTTTGCCAAAGCCTTAATCAAAAAAAAGAAAAAAAATTGTCAACTTTGCACGGCAGACGCATCAGTTTTTTGAAATTATCTACGTGATGAATTAGGAGGGAGAAAGACAAGGAATTAGTACTAGTATCTTTTGGATTTTTGGGGACGTATTTTATGTAGCGATTGACAACATCCAATAACGAAAACAAAACGGCAAAAGGGATACATAATTTAAAAGAATAAAAAAACAAATTATATCGAAAAGCTCGCGCACCGCCGCTGTTTTAGACAGCCATCACTGTGTAATTAATAAAATTTGCATTCAATAGTGGTTAGATAAGGTGTCTGTTGATTAATAAAAGAAAAATAACTAACCTCCAAGGTCCATCTACAGTGCCGAGGCGGCAAATGCTCTGTTTGACACTGTCCGTGTCTGCTTCGACGCAACGCTCGCCAATACCAAGCTGGCCGGCAGCGTTCAGTCTGAACAGCTGGTTACCACCTGTTCCTTGACATCTGTTTATACCTGTAATTAATGCGGCCTAGTGTAATGAAAATAAACTTCATAACTGCGTTCCAGTTTTGAAGGGTAAGAGTGATGGCGAAAAAAAAAACAGGCGTAATGGAACTTGTCAACTTCGTGGCCTTATTTAGACTAGAGGCGGGCGCAGGCGTGTATAAATCAAATGTACGTGGCCACGCGCGCCGGAGCCTGACTCGAGGCGGACGCGGACGTACGTTTCACAGTACTTGGTCTAGCGTCTAGCGTCTGTTTGCAACTTCGTCGTAAGGATCTAACTAAAGGCTTTAGTCGTTTCGGCACTGTGAAAGGGACGCCAAGACCCGTGCGCCCGCACATGCTGCCGCGCCTGCGCCTTTACTCTGTGTGGCTGTGACCCTCAGATCTTTGCGATTTAAAGCTTTGAGTGGCATTGCAAGTGCTGTGTGTAGGCGCTTACTACCGTACCACCCAGGGGCGTCGTGTGGTGATTCAAGAGGATTAACCTAGGGGGTTGGGTTAGTGGGTAAGTCCACAGTATGCCTCCACCTGGAGGGCTAGTATATAACCCTTCAGCCTCTCAGGGCTCGAGAGCGTGCATATAGCATTTCCCCCGTAAACAAAAAAAAGGCGCTTACCACCAGATGCACGACGAATTCGTCCCGTTACTTGAAATAATAAACAAGTCGCAGAAAATGTATATACGGTCTATCATATTAATCGTTTCTATAGGCGTTACGTAGTGTAAAAGCGACGTTTGATACGCATTGTTTGTTACGGTAATATAAGTTTAGATTAATAATCTATTTGTAGAGTCACGCATTTCAAAGATTTACAGCATTGGAATTTAATAGCGAATCATAAGAGAACTACAAGCCACCTCGGAATGCCTCGGTACAAAAATAAACACTGAAAAGTGGGCTTTAGGCATTGTATCGCAAAGTACACTTTACAAGACAATATATACAAACGGGTCTGTTTTGTTTCTCTCAATGTTTTAAGATGAGACTTTATGGGGCCGGTAAATCTGAGCGAGACTAATGACTTCAGAACACTATAAGATTTTTTATCATGACTAATAAAAATCCAAACAAATATTATAAATGCGACGATTTCACGCCTAAGCCGCTGAACAAGTATTGATGAATTTTGGTATAGAGATAGATAGGACCTAACAAAAGGACATAGGCTACTTTTTAACACAAAAAATAATTCTTAAAGGGGGTGAAATAGGGGATGAAAGTTCGTACGGAAAACTATGAAAATTAGAATAGGACTGTAGGCTATTCGAAGTATTTATTTTACGCAGACGAAGTCGCGGGCACCAGCTATTAGTATATGTAAAGAATTATGAGCTCCATATACCAATCGCGGCCCTTTACACACATACAACATATCCAACTGTGAGTGGTCGAAATTAAAGCGGTCGTAAAATGGCACCGCGCTAGGTGTTCCGGTCGCTATTTAAAAAGTCAAAGTCTTTATTTCATAGATAAGAAAATTACACTTGAAATCGTCATACTGATTAAACTCAATTGCTGCTAAGGCATATTCCTGAGAAGAATAAGCAAGAAACTCTAGCGGTTACTCTTTGTAAATATATTTAATAATAATAATAATGATAATAACGCACACACTCAACATAGCCTCAACTCGACTCAACATAACTAGGGAAATCCTGTATCGCGGGGGCCATGGATACATACATAGACAACCACAAATTACACCCAAACTCACGAGAGAAATAAATGTAGGCCATACAAACATTTCTCCCGGCCCGGGAATCGAACCTGGGACCTCTGCGTGGCAGTCCGGCATGGTAACCGTTCGGCCACAGAGGCAGTTAGGTATATTTGAATACATCATTACAATATTTACAATATATCGATCTGAGATCGAGAATACATGAAAGCTGAAGCTAAACGGGTCACTACCAAGTACGTAGAAGCTATATAATAACCTGTAAATTGCAAATTTTGAATACCAATCGGAATGTTATTATAGAAGCGTGTACATTACCCATAAATGAATTTGAGACTTTATGAAGACTACTGTCAAGAACAGCTAGTTTATTTTTAATCCTCACATTAATGTTGTGTTTTGTAAATAAAAAATAATAATATATTTTTTTAAATAAATAACATTTTCATAAATGTACTGTGACGTTAGTGTAAGAATATTAATCTCTTTAAACTTATCTCTCAAAGACATTCTAGGGACTAGATTGTAAATTGCCCTAACCGCACGTTTCTGCAGGACAAAGTTCGTATTAATATCGACCGCATTACAGCAAAGCAAAATGCCGTAGGTCATTGAACTGTGAAAGTAGGAGTATACTTACCAATATGTGCAGGTGCAGCTTTTCCCATAGTGTCCAAACAATCTCCCGACGCTCGATTCTTCACCATACCCCAATAAACGTTCTTAGGCAACTTCGGGAACTTATCATAAACATCGTAAGCAACATTCTCCATAAACCAGGAAAAACTTTTGCATTTCAATCTTTCCTTCAAAGCAACTTGTTCTGTAATGTCGCCCATGTCCAACCATCTCGCCATTGGTTCTCTAGTATAGAAATATTCCTTGTGCTCTTCGTCGAACCAGGTCTCGATAACTCTCTTATAATTAATTGTAATAAGGGAACCTTTTCGGTTCTTAGCCAAACTCCCGAAAGAATATGGCATGAACGCGCGGTATACGTGCCCGACTCGAGAACAGGGCACCCATTCGATACTTCCGCCGCATTGCCAAATCTTAAAACTGAGTTCGAAATTCTCCCCACCCCACACCAACAGACCAGGGTCATAAGCGCCTATATCGAGAAAATACTGTCTGTTTATGGCGAATAAGCCGCCAGCGTGTGTAGGGCTTTTATACGGCTCAGAAGGATGCTTGTGTTTCGATGCTTCCTTGTCGGGCACTTCGTTCTCTTTATACAGCATACCCCACTCGAAGATGCCTCTGTAGTTCATACCGTGTTGGTAAACGGGGCGGTATTCGAAGGTTTTGTGATCGATGCCATCAATTACAGGTACCGTCATGATTCTATAGTCGCGGTATATAGGGGCTAGGAGAGGAGGTAACCAATTTACATTGACCTCGCAATGAGCGTCCAGAAATACTATAACGTCCCCGGTCGCCTCTTGTGCGCCACGCGATCTCGTACGGATCAAACCCTCTCTCATTTTATTTCTGATCAATCGAACTTTGCCATTCCATCTCTTTATGTATTTATCCAATGGTAGTTGCAAGTCGGGTTTATCCGAGAAATCATCGACCTGTGGAATGATTAGTATTTACACAATGTACTAATATATTACAAAACAGTGTAACGAGTCTCGCACACGGAAAACGGCGCGGTTCCTATACCAATGCTCATTTTCCATAATTTTAAATGTGTGTGAAGCTCGTTACTCCTTCGTACTTTATTATAATAATAATAAAATTCTTTAAACAGGCATTACAAAAAATAATACATTTTGAGTTTTAACACATATTGGCACATGGGTATTAACACATATTAATAAACTTTAGATAATATAGAATAAATTATGATATAAAATAAAATATGACCTAAAATAGGATAAGCAATGCCATAATCGTTTATAACTGCCTCCACCCTTCGATCAAATTATATGCATTTGATCGAAACCTCTATTCTTTTCCTCTAATGTTTGATTTCGTTGGCGCATAGCTCCCAATCTCCGCCAAAATGAATCAAATCCTAAATCCTGTTTGAACAGCGTAATGTTGTTGCCATATGCTGACGTGTTATATTGAGTGAGAAGGTATATTTATAATAAAAATTAATTATTTTATAAATACATACATAAGTCGTGTTTTTATATATAATTTATATATAATTACTTACAGAGGCATATACCTAATACGTACCTGTTGGTAGTTAAAATTCGTTCAAGTTACACTTCATACAGTTCAGGTATATTTTACACAAAAAATCTGTTATAATCGAAGTCGGCTGTTTTCTAATTTACATGCTTAATAGGAAATGAAACTATTATTTAATTAATTCGCGTATATTGTTTTTTTTTTCAAACACACCAACGTTTCGGGCCCTTTACAAGTCAGCTGCCGAAAAAATAATTTCGTTTCCTGTGTGTAACAATTACGAAAACCTAAGAGTTTTACATGCTTAATATTAATTTAAAAAAATCATAAAACTTATTGTCAGTCTTTTTACACGCGTAGTAGACTATACGCGATGGACATACGACGGCCTGCGCATGCAATAGAACAACGCGTTCCGGGTGTTGCTGGGGCTGCTGCGCTACTGCGGCGCCTCGGGTTTGCAGCCATCATGCGTAAAATATGCGCCCCGGGGCTATACCGCCTGCGCGACAGTCCCAACCGGATTCTGAGCGCGTTGTCTGCACGCTGGGACTCGCCGATGTTCGCTCATTGGATACGACTGCATGCCGCCGTTGCATAGTATTGTTCATTTTTATTTATTTTGTATTGTGCATCGAGTATATATCCAGAAATAGAGACGAAATAGGGGCCGTCCATCCCTGACAACTCATCAGGCAAATAGGCCATATATTACTTTTAAATATCAACTCTCGTTTGCACAGAATTCACAAATTAGAAAGCTGAAATTGTACAGCGCCAACAACTGACTTGTGTGTACGTCTCCGTATATTCAAAAAATATTATGTATTTATTGTAGGTAATAAAGATAATATCTCTAGCTATGGGGGGCTGTTCCATACGGTGGTGTGGGAAAAATCGCAAAACATGTAATTACAAAACAAACGGACTCACATTTCATCGGTAATTAAATATGTAATTTTTCAATTTTCATCCATTATAGCAAAGCTCAGTTAAACTGGTCGATTTGAAGTGAAACAATTGACGACACCGTAAAGATTTGGCAGAATAGTTTTCAAACATATTAAGTGATATTTCGTCTCTATTTTTGGTTATATACTCGATGGTATTGTGTAACTAGCCCTTAGAATTAAGCATTTTGTAATTTACTAACAAACTATGGACCTGGTTACTTTATTTATTTATTTCAGACTACGTGAACCATATAATATATACCTTAAGGACTAACATACATACAATATAATAAAACACTACGAAGGTTACGAAATAAATTATTATTATTATTGTAAAACGCAAAGTAATATCAGAGCAATATCATAGTAATGTGTCAGAATTCACTTTTAAAATAATTTACACTGTGAAACCTTTTTAATAATATTTTTTAATACATAGTATATAGTAGTGTGGTACGCCGCGGTTGACAAAATATCTAAAAAAAATATCTTACGACATTTTAATAGCTAACTATTCTTTATAATACGCACAATATTATATAATTCGTCGTAAATATATGCTTAAAAAAAGGAAATGTTCTATTTATATACTATGAAGTTATGTGTAGAACGCAATGCATACGAGAAACTTTTCTATCTAACCACTATCAGGCCACTTTATAACTAGTTGCTTGTTGTCCTCTGATTTGCATATAGTTATAATAGCTCATCTTAGGTACATTGAAACAGACATATTTAAGAAGCACATATTATTTCACGTCTGACGTGTGATATTTTTGCGCCATTTTTGAGGGTACGGCAAAATAAATAAATGTTGAATCTGTATCTTTACTCAGTGCATGTATTGCTGGTATTCGTTTGGATATTGATTCATAGTAAGACTATAGTGTTTATCATAAAATGGTTGCAAGATAATCTTGGGAAAGGTAGACTTACCAGAACAACTTCATGCAGAACATTCGGCAGTGATCGGTCTATAACGGAGTGGACTGTCCTCATGAGGACTGAGAAACCTTCGTTGTGGAAGACGATGATCACAGACGTGGATGGCAGGTTTTCTGGGTAGTGCCAGTACTTGCACTCTTCCACTCGAGTATCCGGAACGGATCTGTGAATTATAGTGAAGATGAATTAGGTCTGGTTTTTATATTTACACAAGTAGTATAAGCAGAAAAATAACGCATTCTTAGAAATTTGTTACTGTATTTTTATTTTTATACTTTAGCTTGTTATTACTGATGCATAGATTGAACAACACAAATAAAAAATTCTTCGATCTGACTCTACTCTAACAGAGCGTCTGATACCACGCCGGGGCCACCGTCTCTTATCAGCTGAGCTACAGGCCAAGTCTTCTTAGGAACTTTGTGCTCGTTGTAGATCCTTGTAATGGGTTTAAACGGCTTTTTTGCCGCCAGCGTCACCTGCGAGAAACTTATTACCGCAGGCATTTTTATTTGTGTTGTTCGGTTTTGTATTAATAATAACAGGAAACTAATGTTCTACGATTATCAAAAAATTCACGTTCTTGTTATTGTTGGTTTTAGTTTTTATGTTCTGGGATTGTCCTCGGTGCTAATATTCTTGGAATAATCGCTTGTTGGTTTTATAAGACTTGTAATATTGATCAAGTTCTTTTGATTTTAAGGCTGGCCGTACATTATCCGAAAGTTTAGTTACAAAAATTCGCCTCACGTTTTGCCCAGTCAAGAACACACCGTCAGTTGAGTTGAGTAAATTTAAAGTGTCAAGCTCGAAAAGCTTTTCACCTTGTACTAAGTACAACCCGCACATTATCGGGATTTCGCCAGAGCGATCACCAATTTCAGTTGCATGCCATACACACACTGGCAAGACGTCAGAAATTTCACGGATTACACTGCCGGAAGGGATGTCAAAGCATTTACGTTAAAGTCCGCAAGCTAACAAAATTTCGTAAGAACGATCATACTTTTCTGCGGCACGTCTGATACATGCTTATGTTGTGTTGCAGAAAAGGACGTCCAGCAAGCGCCAGACGCCAAAAATTTGACGGATCAGGCCCAGTACTCTCGTTCTCCATCCGTCAAAACCATTATTGTCAAATATGTAATACACGTTTTACTGCAGCTGCGCTTCTAAATATTGTATAAAAAATAGTATTGGCGCGGATGCAGCGCCACAGACGCGCCTCTGCAGCTCTTTATACAAGCCCCTAATTTGACTATTTCAATAACGACAACAATACCATGGCGTTTCTCATGGGTATATGTATATGGCTGATGGTGACAAGGTTAGGTTTCCGAATGAATAAAACTGCATTAATAGGTATCGAATTTCGCTCTTCGCTTATATAAAAATATTTGAAAATAAATCTCGTAGGTATAAAATTTATATCGAATTAATTTCGACCTCGGTAGTCGGCCTTTTGATAAGAGTGGTCTGCAAAATATGCGATTATCCGTTTTCTAATCTAGGATCATGTCTGACGCATAGAAATAGCATGGTTTGGGTGTTCGGAGTACCCCGGAGCGATTTCCTCTGTGCTGGAACTCATAGTACAGTGAATTCCCTAGTTTGAGACTAGGGGATTGGTGCGTTTCTTTGGTACATTGTTATTATGACGTAGTTTTTACAACCAATATAGTCAGTATTCGGTGTATCCGTGAAATACCTCAACGTCGTAACATGATGGCGACTTGACACGAGCTGGGAACAAAAACGGCGCAATTTTTTCTCATAGTGTACCTGGAAATATAGTTCAACGCGCGGTAGGATTTTTCTGACAGAATCTATGAAGCCAGTTTAACAGTTAGCTTTGTGTATGTCATATAAATTACGTTTTATTATTCTAATTAACTTCTTGATTGACGAATTTCATTATTCATTCAAGAACAATGCCTATAGTTTCGTGTTTGATTATTTCCCAAGCTTAGATGTAGTTATGTTTACAAAACATTACCATTATTCTGATTATAAAAGATTTTTATTTACGATTGTATTTTTAGTGTTTGGGATATCTGGGATTAATGATTGCGCTTTAATTATACCTATACGACGTGTAGTAGCTTCTCGGAGAAACAATAAAGTTAAATTTGGAAAAATACTAACTCTATCAAGAGAGTGTCCTTCTTATCGTGTGCATAACAGTTTCTCTGATATGCACATGATATATTTAACAAATCTTAATCCGAAAAATGTGTAAAATTTGTCGGATTAAGAATTTACGAGAAATGAATTTGATTTACGACTACTTAGATAATTTTGGCTTTTAAATTGAGAAAAAGTTAGTTTAAAAAAAACGAGTCCGCCGCGAAACAGACAAAGCCACTGTCTTCATTCTCGTGTTTCTAATCTCCTCTCACCTTACCTATTGTAAGCTATGTCATTAGAAGCTGCAATATTCATGCCGTATTCCCCCTCAGACTCTGCCACGTCATTATCTCTATCTGAAGGCATGTGGTACGGTTTCCCTTCTTCACCTGGCCCTTTCACTCTCACTATGATCTTAGGTTCAAAGTTGCCCAAATCTGAAATATTAATGGTTTTGTTAGGTTTTGTCATGTTGCTATGTATTATTGTGAATGATACCAAAAGGTTGGCTTGTCGATGTAAAGTTTGATGGTATTTGGAATTTTTTAACAAATTAAGTGTAAGAAATGAAACTATTTTCCCGGATTTAAATCGCGTATATTTGTTTTTTCAAACCGTGACCATGGGACCTGTAAAGGGCCCGAAACGTCGGTTTGTTTGAAAAAACAAGTATACGCGATTTAAATCCGGAAAAATAGATTCATTTCCTATGTGTAACAATCGCGAAAACCTAAGAACTCGATAAATTAAGTGTAACTTGTAAGCAATGGAATTCCTGGTATTCTACTGCAATGACAAAATTGCTCTGAGAATCTTTAGTAAAACAATCACAATCTGTAATATTTGTGACACCGTCAATGTAATGCAGTAAAATAAAGAGTCTCTATACCTTTTTGGCAAAATTTTCAATTATACTTATGAAACAAGAACACACAAAGAATACTTAGATGACTCGTCAAAAACAGGTCTGGTATTATGATATATATATATTACACAGTCAAACCCAAAAATATACATATTTTGTCAAAGAAGAGGTGTCAGGTTAGTGTACGTCTAAGAGCGCGGAGCGTGTTGGGAGTTACTCAAGCCTGTACTCGTAGATCAAGCACTAACATTTAACAGCTGGACAGATGGGAGCTAAGGTCTCAGTTTATATTAGGTTTAGTTCAAACTGAGGTCTATACACAGAATCTTCTCCCAATATAAGACCCATGACGTAACCATAGACCTCTATCCTCACGGAACCGTCTACCTCTACCGATACCTGTGAACAAGGGGTGGGGTGGGGCCAAAATGGTCCAGTAGCTGATTGAAATCTTTCGGCCAGTCTACAATTCTACATGTAACTGAAAGATGTAAAGAAGTGAAAGTCATCTTCATACCGAACGTATATGATATGAGTAATGCGTACTCCTTCCTGCCTAACAGGAGGTGTTGCGATGAAGAACCGAGTGACGAATTTCTCTCAAATATATACATAACATGATAACAAAATGTATATAGTCAAAGTTACGTCTAAGAGGATTTTGGAACAATAAATATAAATACTTAGATACCTTTATTAAGACATGGTGGGGACGAAGCATTACCGGGATATATGAGCAATATCCTTCAACAAAGAACAATGACAATTGTAGGGAACAGAGGGGCTGTGGTCACGAAATGATGTCCTCAAGGTGGGTGCTCTGTAGGTCTAAACAAGCTCCTCACCAAACCAAACAAGGAACTTCTAGATATATACAATAGGTTATGCTAACAACGTATACAATAGCTGGCTGACATAACTCGTGACTGAATCGTGACACGTCAGCAGAACATTAATGTTCTACGCTATTGCTGAAATTTTAATGCTCTCAACAAAGACGTACCTCTACAAAGAACACTTAGTAACTATCCATTACCTAAGCAGTAATGCAAAGGGCTACTGTCATCGGCTGGAGTAAAGTGTCGAGAAATAATACTGGACAAGCTGAGCTGGTCTGAACTGCAAGAACCTGGACAACAAAATTAAATAAGGAGCAATCTGTTTCTGGTAGTGTCATAAAATCGTAGGTAAGGAGTGGGTGCGTTGATTAGATTTATCAACTACGATGCGACGACGGTGCGATGTCAGACTGTGTGTCGCTCACAAATTGGGAATATTTCAAAGATTAGCGTGTGTGGCGACGATGGTCTGCATGATTTTATGTGGCAATGTTGCAGTAGTGGAACTGGCCAAAAGAGAATCGGAGAGACGCCATAGTACCAGAACACATATTGTGCTTTTCCCACCAACGTTTAAGGTGATAATCCAGTTACAAAAATGAAACGTGACTACATTTGGGCGACCTTTACAGATTGCAGGCAGGTCAGGAAAGCACTCTCGACTCTCAACTCAACAACCTACAAAAACTCCGTGTCTTTTTATGATACCAAGTGACGGGATGAACAATTTATTCGCCTGGTGGTAAGCGACACGCCTGTCTATAACTGTTGCAGTGTCAGTTAGACTTTTCGCAAAGGTCTGCAGGGCACTGCTACTGCGCCCGTCACCCTGAGACATAAGATCACAAGTCACATGTGTCTGAAATTTCACCAGTACCCTTCCAAATGTAATCTCAAAATCTGAAATGCAGTAATGTTCATATTACAGCTTGGCGGCAGAAATAGGTAAGGTGGCAGTAGTTCTCTGGACGAACTCTTTCACAAGAAGCTCTATGGCTACTAATGATGATGAGTGATGTGAGTGTGGTATCAATAAGTACTGGTCAATATAATTAACATCATTTTATGATGTATAAAGGGAAGGCTCTGTGCAGTGGAACATCTCGGAGTATTGAGGTTGCTCCCCAAAATCGTGAAGTAACCTCAAGAAGGGGCTAGATATTCCTGGATAAGCCTAGGTTGGCTAGAGTACTCTAGTCGTACGACTCTGTTATTAAAATAATCAAGCAAAATAAGCACTACGTGTGGCCCACTATAACCTTCCGGAATGAATAAGAAAAAATATGTACTATAAATGGTCCGAAATGAATTTATTCTTTCTCAAAATATTCTCCGTTACCGTTAATGCACTTTTTCATACGAATGAACCATTTTTGAAAACATTTATGCCACTGCTTTTCAACAGCCTCTTCGGGTGACGAAAATCGTTGACCGAGTAACTGGTTCTTAATTTTTGGTAATAAATAAAAGTCACAAGGTCGGGACTGTACGCGTGTCAAAAGGTCAACGTTGTTCACCTTCTAAAATTCATTTGTCTGTCTGGCCGTGTGAGAACTGCCATTATCGTGGTGCAAGATGATACGGCGTTTACGGTTATTATTACGGAGTTTGTCAATAACTTCCGGCAAACAAATGGTCGTGTACCAACCACTATTCACGGTACAACGATCCAAAGCAACAGTAGCCACATGTCCAGTTTTATTAAAAAAAGAAGCAATCGTCCGCTTAGAGGCACTTTGCACGCGCGCCACTTTGGTTGGTTTTGGCTCATCTCACGGTCACGCTCGATAGCTGCTTTGTTTTGGGATCGTAACTATAAATCCATGTTTCGTCACCTGTCACTAGGTCCCACACCAAACTTGACGCCCCTTCGTTGAATCTGATAAGCATGGCATTGCACCAAGTGACGCGATCCGTTTTTTGAGCCTCAGTCAAATTGTGTGGGATCCATCGAGAGCACAGCTTTTTCACACATAAATGTTTGTGTATTGATTGTATTTGACTCATGTCTATGCCTAAAGATGTCCGAATCTCTTGGCATGTCACATGCCTATTTGTTTTGATCATACGGCGCACAGTATCGATGTTTTTGTTGTTCACAACAGTAGACGGGCGACCATCACGAAATTCGTCACTGAGATTCACACAACTGCGTTTGAATTCTGCAAACCAGCTATAAATAGTCGTGCATGGTGCTTCATTGCCAAAAGCAGTTTGAAGCCGAGCGAGGCTCCGCTGACCAATAGGTCAGCATTACATTACATTACACTTAAAGTTGTAGAAAATCATACTGCAAAAATTTTCACGAGTTAAATCCATGGTGATGTAGAGAACCAACTTCTAAAACGATGCCACAATGTAAAAACAAGTGACAGTCAGATGAAACAAACTGTATTCTACAGCCAAAGAGTTCCATTTTCAAATGTTGTAATTATTTGTTGTTGTAGTCAAGAAAAGTGGTTATATGTTTAATAACCTATGTAGTTTAGAAAAAAATATTTTTGCTCTTGACTGTGCATTAAGTAGATCAAATGGAAAATAGTAACAAAAGAAGAAATATTTTGGAAATACATTTTATTGATTAATTTATTATAAAAAAGCACACTTATTCCATAGAATATAACAGAAGTTGAAAATTTAAAAAAGCACTCATAGAGCAATGAATTTGTGTTGTTGAATTAACTTACATAAATAATGAGCTATCTATAATTCTGAAATCAATGTATGTTGTACATAATTTTGTGAACATAAAAAGTTATAAATAAATGTCTGTTTAAACCTGTTCGAAATCTGCTTGTGTCATAATGTAGCTAATATGGTAACATTAATATGGACTGTAAAGAATTTAATTGTCCCAAATTAATCTTTACTTTTAAGTCAAAACTCTAATTAAAGTGGGACAAAAGATATGAAATAAAAAAAACATAAAATTGGTTTGTAACTATTTATTTTTCTTCTACTGGCCCAAATTCATTGCATATGAGTGTATCAGGTAAAGCAATGAAATTTCAGTTTGCACACACATTAATGCAACAACAACCTTCTCCGATGTCTTTTTCACCCAGACATTCTACAGCATCCCCGGAACATGATCTTGATGCTATAATTATTTATTCAAAATCCATAAATTATGCACTGATATATTACTTAGTATCAAACAAACTGCTTTTCACTTGAATTTTTGACAACTTTCCCCATCTAATCATCAATAATTCAGCCTGCCTAGACTTAAAAAACTAAAACCATAAATGTATTTAAGCTTTTATTACTACGCAAACTAATACACGATTTCGGTTCATAGACGATTGCCGGTAATATAATAATATTTATTGCTGCTTCTGTTATCAAGTTTAACCAAACTATAACAAGTTTCACACCATATCAACTTGCGCAATAAAACTATCACACGTAACGTAGGTAAGAGGCGCGTTAGTTGCCGGCTTCTCTGGAGCATGTAACTGTAAATTCATTGTTAAACTATGACGTGAATTCGATATTTTATGATCTTACCTGTTCGCAGCTCTGGAAAGACACCTTCGTGAGATTTAAATACACCCGAAATCTGAGGGTTAGCTTCAGGTACTTCCTGTTCCACTCCAACATTCTTATAAGACCATTTGTGAATAGCATAAACCAAACATAACAGAATAGCACACACTGCGGCCATACGGCCGATTCGGCCGCGTCTTATATTTGTGATTCTCATTGTAGTAACTTTCATTCACGCAAACATAACAAATTTAATTTATTTAAAACTAAAACAGCAGTAATGTAAAGAAAAAGAAATCTTTCGGCACTCGCGAAATGCAATCATATACCTTTGTTGGCACAGGTGACGTTTTTATGACAACGTCAACTTTACACCGTTCCAATTCTTGTTCTTGTTCACTACATAAGACAAAGGCGATCGCCTTAATTTATATGTTATTTTTTTCCATCTTCTACATTGACTTACAAATAAATATAAGTCAATGATCTTCTAAGTTATTTTTACGAAACTGACTCTGGTGAAATCTTACTTGGCACCGCCAACAAACAAAACGAAAAACATATTCTTGCTGTTGCAATCCCTTGGATTTGTAAGAGAAACCGAATGATTAAAAAAAAAGTTTATATGAGTTTTGCACAGTTAACAGATTTTTAACACGAAAAGCTGTACATAACTACGCGTTTTTGTTGGTAGGTCAATGTTTTGAGTGCATTAAATGTGCAAAAGTACGATCAACAAATAAAGTTTGTCGCAAAGAAATAAACGCAGATTCTGTGTTAAAAAACTTTTTGCACACAGAATCTGCGTAAGTTCTTTACGTTCCATTCTGCGCAGATATTTTTTCGTACTTCTCATAAGAAGAGTATAACTACTTTTACAATTATTTACAATAATTATTTTGTTTAAAAAACATTGAAATAACAACGAGAAAATAAAAAATAAAGTATTATTATTACGAGTATGTTTTGCAATATTATAATTATTTTGATACATAAAAATTGTTTTTTTGAAATGGAACATATACTTCAAATTTGAAACAGTGTTTTTAACGTTAGGTTTCGTTTGTGAACTGTTGTAGGTAAGGCTTGTAGTAAACATTTTATCAAAGAGGATCTAATCACTACGTTGCCATTTTATGTTGTGTTTGAATTACAGAATACGATTGAAAAATAAACACAGTTGCAAAATACTATGGCGGCCGTTACAAATATGAATAAAAGTAAGTGTAATTCAGCGCCTAAATTGGCATTGCTGGACAGCTTTATCCTCATTCTAACGACGACTTTGTGAATGCAGATGCGGCTGAGAACTTCATCAATAACTGGAATGCCGAGTTTCCCGACTACCAGCTAACGGTGGAAGATTTTAAAAAACCCCATTCATTATTTAGGTACTTGTTTCGAATTTTTGACCGCCTGGGAATAGATGTCGATGCAGTTCTCATGGTAAGCTTTATTTAAATGTTCTTACGTATAGATACGACTTGGAATGATACTGTTATATTAAATATTTAGGGTGTAAAGTACAATATTGTAAGAATCTGCAGAGAAGGAATCGAACCGACTGCGTAGAGGAGTCGCGCATTATACTGCAGTATTTCGTGATGGCCACTTACTGGGTGCACCACAGGACACTGTTTCTTGAAAAAGCAAGGTCTGGTTTAAGTGTAGCGTGTGAGGCAAGAGTTAGACAATGGCTTTCCAAATTTTTTGGGGTCACCACCTACTTAGGCAAGATAAAAAAAAAGCCCACCACAGCAAAAAATAATTGAAAACACGTATTTTTTACATAAACACAAAAAATCACAAGGAAAAAATATATAAGTATGTATGTTGTGTAGTTTATGTAGATAAAACCTTTTTTTCATGACAGCATCAATGACCCACATTGATTGCTTCCGAGGCCCCTCTAGGACTCTTCAGTGTCCACTGGGAGTGGGGAGTAGGGACCACTTTGGGAAACTGTACTAGACCTACTTACTGCCAAAATTGTAGACATTATTTTTATAATCACCCCAATTAATTAAAATTAAACCTGGTTTAAAATTAGGGAATACCGTGTACAATGAGTAGGTACCAAAGCAACTGAATTCATTCTAGAGCACAACCCAGTACACCAAGACCAGAACCAATTTAGAAAAGTTTATTCTCCAAATGAGTCCTGGAAATCAAACCCGGGAATCCTCATCCAGCACCTACAGTACAAACTTTTGAGCCACAGTGAAAACCAACTTATTCAAGTACTACTTACACATTGTATTTCATAGGGTTCTAGGAAAATGATTTGGTCTCACCCTTTCATAGCAAAGGCAATTTATTTCCCAAATGTACTAAATCATTTATCTACCAAAATAACATGTTTACTGCGCATGAAGTTATCAATTCCCATTGACATGTGGAATTAAAATGAAAGTTATTAAAGAAAAACATAGTCAAATTGCATCAATGCCTTTTATTACATAAAATTATTCTTCCATATGATGGTTCTACATTATTTAATAAAACAATCAATGTGTTAGTTGTTTGTAACAATGACATATACTATAGTGCTTGTCATCACGGTGAAAGGATTAGTCAATCAATGTAAAATACTTGCAGATTGTTGCTCAGGATGCGACAGATATACTGGACAGAAATGGTGTGTGTAGGGAAGCTCCTTTCATGCATCTATCTGTCTGCAAAAAAGAAGTCTCCCTTCGCTAAGTTAATGATTGCAAATATGTTAATACTGACCTTGTATGCTTTATTTCCAGCCACCTGTAGAAAAAAACTTGAATGATGACATAGTGCACTATTGGGATTTATTACCGTTCATCAATGTCACCAGAGTTATCAATCATTTAGTGTCCGTCATGCCTCAAGTTGCAAATGTGACTGTCAATCATCTATTGCAGCCATCAGTGGCTACAACTCACACTATACTACTTTTGCTGTTCAATTTTATGCTTTTCAATGAACAACAATTGGAGAGTATTGCTGAGGATGAAAATGAGTTGTTTAATTTTGCTAATATGGTAAATATTGTTATCCTACTTTTAATTAATAGATATTATTTACAAAGTTTTAAGGTTTTCTTTACATTGAAAGTGGATTGATTAATTTTTATTGGATTATAGGTAAAGTCTATGGAGGAACAAAGGAACAAATTACTTGAGGAGATGAATACTCAAGCTGTAGAGAAAGGGAAACGTTCAGAAAGAATGGCACAGGTACACAGTGTGCAATAATTAATGTCATCAACTATTATGATTTAACAGTGTACAATCCTGTTATGACCATTAACAAAAAGTGGAACCAAATTTATTGGTTTGACCAAATTTATAAAACAGAGCCGCAAGTTGCATTGTGTAACGAGCTCAAAGAAAAATTTTACAGATTAATAATGTATAATTGTGTATATGTATAGCATGTGTGATTAAAAGTAAGTTTTACAGCCCAAATATTATAAATTACACTGGTACAAGTATGGTGTGAAAAGACAAAATATTGCATAATTACAATAACTTATGATATTATACTTAAAATATAAAATATACTAATATTTGTTCTACAGTATGAAAAAGAAATTCAGCAACTGGAAGAAGAATTGAAAATGGAAGAAGAAGGTTATGACATAGAGAAGAGAGAACTCGACAAAGCAATAAAAGAAAACAATGCAACAGACATGATACTTGATCAAAAGAAAGCCACTAAGGAAGGTCTTATTATAGAAAGGGACCGTAAAAAAGCACTTAGAGTGTATGATGCTGAGGATATAAAGGCTCAAGCGGATCAAGCTGCGCAGAACGTGCAGGAAGCTGAGGAAAAACTGAATTCTTTAAAAGCAATAATTGCCCAGAAAGAGAGCAACTTGAAAATACTGCAAATGGTTAAACCTAATTTGGATACTGCTAACAATTTATTGCATGAAATTACAAATCTCAAGTAAGTTTCCTATGTAGTTGCACATAATAAGATAATGCTCCTAATGTCTATGATTTAAAGAAACTTCTAAATTTCTATCAAGCCTCATGAATACTTTATAAAAGCCTAAGTATGCTTGGTTTGCTCTGACGGGGTTCATTATGAAAGGTTATGTAGAAGTCAGCATTTTATTTACTTTGGAAGGATCTACTAATGTGTTGTAAGCTGATCATAAACAGTCTAATATGTCGAGAGTTCCATATTAACTGGTCATTGTAATAAATAAGAGACATTCTTGTCTATCTTTTGTCCTTCATTTGTCTGTTTTGTTCTTGTGTACAGCAAAAAGCATTGTATTGTGAAGAGTAAGTTGTACAGTTTTCAATTAATCAAATTTAAATTCACTTAATTACCACTCATTTGACATTTTAAGAAGATTTAACTATCACATGCTGTGTTATATGGCTGCTTTGATAGTTAATGCTGTGTTGGGATGAGTTATGACGACGAAGGTCTTTGTCGTCCACGATGATTTTCTAGTCTTATGAATCGAGGAACAGTTAAAACTAATTTTTACTTTGGTAAATATTGTAACTTTTTCAGAGATTTCCACATTGGCGACTTAGATGAAGACAGCAAAGATGGCGAACTCGATATGCTTAACACGGATCTGATGGAGCTGCAGGTGCTGGAGGCCGAGGTGCACGCTCGACGAGAAGAGGCTGCCCAAAAGCGGCACGACGGGCAGACCAAGAGGCAACAGGAGAGGATGTTTGCTGAGAAGTATGTTCATTAATTGCTACTAGCTACCTTAATACCTACTAAGGAATGTACATAATAATGATAATAGTCAGAGGAGGTAATCAGGAATATCCAGAAAGTATATTATGTTTTGGTGTAAAAAAACTAAGTACAAGAAAAATATTTTATTATATCGAGTTCTTAGGTTTTCGCGATTGTTACACATAGGAAATGAAACTATTTTTCCGGATTTAAATCGCGTATATTTGTTTTTCCAAAAAACGAAACAGGTTTGTTTGAAAAAACAAAACCTTTGCCACAATAATGTTGTTTGGTTTGTTTGAAAAAACAAATATACGCGATTTAAATCCGGAAAAATAGTTTCATTTCCTAAATATTTTATTATATTATATACATTTGAAAGTGACACTTGTATACTACTTTTCAATGTAGCCTCAGTACAAATCCAGGCACTTATCGTAACGACGAACAAAGTTTGAAGTTCCAACTCATTAAATTCTGCCGCCTGAAACTTCAACCAGTTAGTCACGCCCTCCTAATTTCTGTCAGACACCGAGTCAACTCGAGTCAGTAATCGCGTCAATTGGAGCAACTCGAGTTGAAAAAAATACAACCAATTGCTCAAGTTTTAATTCAAGCAACAATTTCAAACTACTTTGCGACCTTGCATAACAAATAACTAATTTCACTTTTCAGCATCCTAAGAGATGCAGAGAAAAGCGACAAGAAACGCCGTGAGTTTTCCTCTGCAGCAGTGCAACGCACACAGCAGATCATGGAGCAAACTAGCAAGTATGATGAGGAAAAGACTCGTGGAATGGAGACCATACAACAGTTGAAAGATACCTTTACTAATGGGGTAAGTAGGTCTAGAATATACTCATATCGTCCTTTACAACACTAATGGATGTAACAAACATACTACTTTGACCATAACGAAATATTTCGACATAGAACTATATATAAATATTTGAAGATACTATGTAAATGATTTTATTTTGAGTTCTTGTCCATATTGACTTACACCCAGATGTGATAAAGAGGACGTTAAATTTATAGTGTGAGTATCACCTCTCTCTAACAGTTAACTAATCTACTGCCTTCGTGACCGAACGGTCTGCCGGACTGCCACGCAGAGGTCCCAGGTTCGATTCCCGGGCCGGGAGAAATATTTGTATGGCCTACATTTATTTGTCTCGTGAGTTTGGATGTAATTTGTGGTTGTCTATGCGTGTGTCCATGGCACCCGCCTTTACTCGCATTATGTTACAGTGAAACCTTTCACGCAAAGTAATTTTCGATATGTAGGTACATATCGAAAATTACTTTGCGTGAATCCCTAATTAAATTTCAATTTTGCATTAATATGTAATTAACCTCTTACCTCTGAAAAACAGTTCCATCGTCAGTTTCGTTTTTAATAATATTAACTGAGTATAGCATAGTGTATAGATAACTGAGCATTTTGTTTAGTATACAAACATACAGTATACAGTTGTAAAACCAGGATTTATTTACTTTCTTTTTTACAAATTTTGAATTGACGACACTGATTTCGACCTAGCATCACTCGGCGTGTGTACACGCTTAGTATTCGGCGATTTTTGAAGTTTTTTTGGTATCTTTTTCTCGTGACTAGGCTCTGCTTTTGAGCTGTTTGTGTTTGCTATCACTTCGACCTTAACACTAATTATTTTGTAAAGCTATAATGTTTAAATAAATGTTAATCGTTCTACCTAGAACTTAATACCAATAACCATAAAAGTAATTCAAACGATTTTCTATTTCTTGTGAGAACTGGGTAATCTGCTTAACGATTTGTTGGTTCACATGCCTGGTTACATTGCTACGACAGACGTCAAAACGGGTCTATTAGATTGTGAAGACAATAAGTATTATATATGGAAGCAATGAGAATATGAAAACTTTGTGTATTAATTGCACACAAACATAAAACAAGTCGAAACACAGCAAGGCACAAAAGCCCGAACACGTCTGATCTAAATGTTTAAAACGCTCGTAAATATAAATGACGTAGGTTTTATTGCTGTCGTCAATAGAATGAAAGCGAGACATGCCGGTTTGTCAGAGAACAGTCGCATAAATCATGGAGTGGAATGACTTGCAAATTCCCGCTTTGAGAAGCGCTCCGTAATGTATGTACGTACATAACAAATGTAACAAATTTTTAAATAAAATTTTTATTGAATTGATAGTCAATTATTATTTTGTGAAATTACTTCACTAGTTTGCTATAATTATTAATACAAAGATCGAACACGTAGAAAAAACCCTTCGATCCGGTCGGATTGGAACTGACGTCTCCTCGCGAATTCTTCTAGTGTTTGTTGTCGGATCTTTGTGTTAGGTTTTTCAACGACTTGCAACGACAATAAGCACAGAGAAGAATTCGCGAGGTCCGCTGGTTCGTTCCGTGGCTTAGTTGGCATAGCGTCGGGCACGGTTTGCTAGGAGACGTCGGTTTGAATCCGGCCGGATCGAAGCAATTTTTTGTAAGTGTTCGATCTTTGTATTAATAATTATAACAAACTTTTAAATATTTCTGTACCTTTTGGCTTGGGCACCATCACACGCCGGCTTGTGCTACGGCATAAAACCGAACTAGCGACACTGTTATGAACTCGGCAATACCATTTTCTAGATATCACAGTGGCAATTCTATATTTTTCTATTACATTCAATGTACGTTGTTTGATTGTTGCCAGTAGACATGGCAATAACCGATATTTGTCAATAATTAGTTATACTGAAATGCGATTTTTCAATAACTTATTGTAAATTGTGGTCATGTAACCAGGACACCCAAGTTTTGCTAATTTCCTCCTTCCTCTTAGATTATATTGCAATTATGATAATATTTGTTATTACCTTAAAATCTAGTTGCAATGGCAGTTGAGCCCCAACAGAGTGCCAGTAGAATGACACTGATGACATTCAAAATAATTAGGATAACCGACAAAGCCTAAAGAATTGCTAAAATTATGCAGCGGTGAGCGGGGCACATTTTTTTAAAATTTGTTTTCAATTTATTTGGTCAGTCAACAATTGTTACACCGATAAAATATCAGAAAACATTCATGCAAAAAAAAACTTAAAACTAAGTGCACAATCTATTATAGATCGACATTACATGCACAATAAATTATTGCAGAGTACAAAGAAAGTTACAAAAAGAAAAGTGTAAACATTAATTTAATTATATAAATCACTTACAAAAACAAATAGTGCTAATATCTTAAGACTAAGCGAAAGCATAAAAAAGAAATTAGGTGACAAAGTTTTAGGAAGGTGACGACATTTCGTGCTTGGTTCTTACTGCAGAGAAGTAGTGTAAATCAATCGTATTGGTGTGATCATTGTACAACTGGCAAAGTCTAGCTTGCTCGTAGAACAGATGGCCGATAGGGCCGAAGAGGTCTAGAGTGGTGAAGAGTAGCGACCTGCAGCTTGATTTTGATTGCCTCTCCCGATCAGAAACTGCGTCTCTTCCGAGTCGCATATTTGCGATACACAACTGGCCGATCGGAATCTTTTGACATTTGAAATCGGAACAATAGTTGATTTAACTCATAAATTAGAAACAAACAACGCATCTAATTTCGAAACTGCAAATTCAGGACACTGGTCATGAAAATATTTTAATTTCAACGAAATTTTACGCCAAAATTACGTACTAAAAAGCGTTTTTCAGGAAAAATTTAAGCAAACAAATCAGAATTTTCATTCTTCGATTACTGAATAAATAAGTTTTTAAAAGGTTCATAATACTAAATAATATTATGTAAAAGATATTGAAGTCAGTAGCGTACGCGAAGTGAACTGTACCTACTATAATACTGTTTACTTAGGTGATACTATTTAACTTCTATAAGCGTCTAATTTGAAGGTGTCGTTACACCTGCCTCTTGAATGCCTTATGTTTTTTTTAAGTTAAGTATACAGCAGCGTGATATGACTGATGACTATGACTACCCGATCGGTTCAATTCCGATGCGGAATATGCTGGATGAGAGCAAAATAAGACCGGTCGTTGTAGCGATCCTTGGGTGAAGTCTACATCCAACAGTGAATGTCTTTCAACTGAAATGATGGTGAATGTTGCCTGGTAGAGATTGCTACTTAGCAATAAGGTCGCCTGTCGTACCTGTCATTTTTACTTTTTTGTATCCTGTTGTATTGAATTTCAAAAAACGAAATTTGTATATAAAATACATTGGTTCCAGATCACACAGTTTGAAGATGCACTCATCAAGCAGCTTACTCGTCTCGCCGAGAAAATGGAGCAGGAGACTCGGAGACTTCATTCTTTATAATTGTTTTTTGTAATAGCTTTTTACTATATTGTTATTTAAGTACTAATAAAAGTTATTTTGTAGTAATAGTTCTGTATTTGTAGTGTAGAATTTTCTAGCACCAATAAAACACGATTTACTTATAATTTTTTAATGTCTTGCTAATGTGCGATACATAACACTACAGACCACATAAATATTCATAACACGAAAGGGTCTTTTTCCGGTCACGTGGTTATTGATGCGAATGCGTATCTGGGCCTAATCAGATCGCCTTACTTGAAAGCAAGTCTGACGCGATATGTTAAATCTTAAACTCGTGTTTTGACTTAACAATACGTGTAGTAAATGTAAAGGAACCCGGTATGGCAAACAGTCGCTGGTTCGAATCTTCGAAATACTACCCTCTAAATGACGCAGTGGCGTTCAACTTAGTTAAAGGACTGTAGTGTATAAAATTATGTAGTATGTAGGATACCACGCAATAAGTCTAGGTGTTTCCGACAGGCGTCAGACACCAAATGATATGCGAAGATGAGATGCGAAGCAAAACCCACGTGACAGGAAAAGACCTTAACAAAGAGGCCTTTCATACAATCGCGACACTGAAGCGTTCGACGTTTACTGATTCGTTCAGCAGTAAGAAATATCAGGGAGAGCTCCTTGGCAGTGTCGCTGCCAACCGTACCACGCCCAGAAACCCATGCGGCTGTAGATCAACTTCGCGCACGCTGACGCTCTGCCGATGTCGTTGGTTAATAAGTCTGGAAACGATTTATATATTAATTAATATCTTAAGGAGAGGTGAGGTGTGGAGGACCGCCTCTCGCGTCCCGAAATCCACGCGACGAAATTTAATATGAATAAAAATGCGGAGGAAATTTGACACAGATCCGACGTCGACAAGAGCCCGATGGCGACAGACGGGGTAGCGGGCGGCCTGGTGTGTCGTTAAATCGCTGGGCTAATAAATGTGAATTTAATAACAATCGGGTTTCGGTTGAAAACTAAGATTTTGCAGGTTCTCTGTATGATAAATATGTCCACATGAACATTTTTTTCTAGTTAGATTTTTTTTATTCTGTAATAATTCGTTTTAGCCTGTTGTCATTATACATGACCGGGTAAAGTACATCCTATCGAATAATGAATTGTATATTTTTTTGTGAGACGTAATTTAACAGTAAATACTACTACTAAACCATTTTTATCTAGCAAAATAGTTTTTCTCGCCTCTTCTTGGGTAATATAAATAATGTAATCGGTAAGTCCAATTAGGCAGAGCCAACTTCGAGAAAGAGGTCAAAGGTCTAATCCGACTCGGTTGGGCAGCTTTCGGGAAGCTCCGGGACGTCTTCTCGTCCGTAATACCGCAGTCCTTGGAGACAAAACTACAAGAAAACGACCTATGAAACGAGCAATGCTTATTTCTGTGCGTGATTTTCAGAAATGAGGAGATCCGTAGAAGAACGAAAGTCACCGACATAGCTAGTTGAAGTGACAGTGGGCATATATAGCTCGTAGAACTGATGGCTGTTGGGACAGAAAGGTTCTCGAATGGATACCACGAAACAGAAGGCGGGACGGTTCGATGGGACGGCCCCCTACTAGATGGACGGATGACCTGGTAAGGGCGGCGGGTAACCGTTGGATGTACATCGCATTCGATCGGCTAGTCAAGAAATCATTGGGGGAGGCCTATGTTCAGCAGTGGACGTC